GGCAGCGCGGTCCCCAGTCTAAGCCTCTTGGAAGCGGCTTGCTCGGAACAAAGACAGTCCACTGCGAGCCAGTATGGGGACGCTCCGACTGACTTCTGCCGAGGCTATGATGTCAGGTAGTTTATAGGTAAAGGTTTCGGTCGGTTGTAGAAGAGAATTCTGTCCTCAGGTTTAGATTTATGGACGCTAATGGTGTAAGGGAGCTGAGGGCAGCACATATGGAGCTTTGGGTCTGGCGTTTTTACCAAAATGGATAAGCGTCACGGTGTGGATTTTGGATCTCATCTCTGCAACAAGATAGCCAGGTGAACCTTTTGTGGGAAATGGAGTGAAAATCGCCTTGCCTGTTGGATACTCCGGAAGGTCTGCGACGCGGCAGGGCATTTTTGAACGTGAATGCGGAAGCCATCGTGTCCGCCGATTCTTGGGAAGTTGGGATGGCCTGAATTGTAGCGACATGAGGCCATGGGTGTTTTTGCAGAGGTGTGTCTTTTGAGAGCTTTGAGCGGGATGCAAAGGAACAGGGTTTGGAGGGAAAAAACTGGAGAGGCGGTTGCTTGGCGAACAAGTACTTATGGGGGCGAACAGAAATTGTTCAAACAATGGAAAGGAAGCCCCGAGCCCGTTCCAACGGTGCGATGAAATGGTCATGAGAGGTGCTGAGACGGTAGTCGCGCAGAATACATCGTGTAGTCGAAAAAACCGAAAGCTACTCAGGAATAATTGGAAATTGGTTCCAATCTCTTCATCTAAGTAGTTACTGCAGGAGATTTAGAAGAAGAGATGGTATTTCATTAGATGCGGACCCATTGTAAATTGATCTCGTTTTATGTGCGCTCAAATTTGCGAAAGAATTTTGCTGCTGGTTATTTTATTTGCTGAGTTATTACGTCATTTTGTTAATTCTTTTCCTCCAGTGCAACCAGTACCTAAAAACTGCCGCTAGATTGCATTTCATTTTGGCGGTACACCCCCTTTCACTAATGAGCCAAATAGTTACGAGCTTCTTTCCTCCACCACTGGTAATAAGCCAAAGCAGATGTGCACAAACTAGATGCCGGTCTAACTTTAGATGTGGAGTGCTGTGCTACGTCTATCAGGCCTTATGGCGTTTCAAACGTAAGATAACATTTTCGTCTTACTCTTCTGCCCAATATACCCTCCCGGATGGCCTAAACCTAGGGACGCGATGCATTCCAAGACAAACAAAACGGCTGGCAAAAACGGAAACAATTTTTTACTCCTAAGTAAGAAAGTGTGAAGGTTCGGTTTCGATGGAAATGCTCGAGGAAATACTGGCACGTGTTCCCAAAGCTCCAGGGACATAATACAAAAAGAAAGGCAGTTTGGACGAAAAGCAGAAACGAACTTTTAACCATAACGGAGTACCTTGCACTCTCCATTACGTGTCAGTTGGCTGCGAAGAGGGTTATCCAGCATACTGATGCAGAAATAAAAGCCGCACTTGCTTCTCCGGGCGCATGAGCGAGTGCAGGCTGATTATTGGAGTTCATTCTCTACAGCAAGTGCGGCGAAGAAACTTACACAGTTGATCCTTTATGGGTGTGTCACAAAGCCCGAAAAGGAATTGCTTCACGCCGGGGGGTACGCAAAAAGTTAAACAAGCAAAAATTTCTTCTAGTAACCGTCTTCTCGCCATCCACCGTACAGAGTATCATGTCGCGGGCTTCAACCTCAGTAATCAAACGCACACAAGAGGATCGCCCACTAAAGGCGTGAACACGGAGCCAGAGAGACGGGGGAATAAGTTTCCGCTCGGCGACAATTCAGCCGACTGTAAACTTGTGGTCAACTCCATGGTAATTGTAGAAACACGCCGGAGTAACTGGCCACGATTCCGGATTGCAGCTGCAACTCAACCACCTCAGACTCCTTTTCCACCAACAAAAGTGCTGGTCGTGGTGGAGCAAACGTCAGGCACACGTAGTATCCAACATATGTGGAATTATCACTGCTCATTTCCTAAGCGAAAGACAAAGACCCAGCGGCAAACCTCTCATCCAGTTCTTAACAACTCCACTGGATTGGTTGAGCCGTGCGGAGACAAGCAGCGGAACTGACCTGCAGGCCAAACTCAACCGTTGGCGGTAACCTTGAAGACTGCTGCGAGAACTCCACAATCGCGGAGAATTCGAAGCGCAGCCTCCAGCTTCAATGCATCAAAATCAGCAGACAGTCATCATTCATGACCCAATAACCGAAGCCACAAACCCGTCAGCAGTGTAGTAAAAATTCCTACATATACCAAATTGGCCGCGATGATCACGGAAGATGTAAAAGTCCACACAAACACATAAGGAAAACAACTGAGGTCGAACAAGCCGCCTAGGACTAGTCACATCAAGAAAATTCTGATTAGGTTCAAATTGCATTCCTCTCTGAAAACGGGCCTCTTAGGCGTACCACCCAGAGGAATACCACTAGTGGTGCTATCCAACGCACAAGCAAATCTTAGGGGCCTCATACAGCCACAGTGTCCGACAAACCACGTCAAAAGGCCTAAGAAACCAAGTGGACGCATGTTCGTCGCAGACATTTGAACAGTAACAAATGCAGCCGTCAATGTGTTATTACATGGGCTACAAGTAACGGTCATCAAAATTTTCCATATCTTATGAGGACACTACGTCACTCAAAGGCAAAAAGTCTGCTCAAATGGGAAATTTACGGGGCAAAGTCCTCTGCAAACAAAAGTGCGATCCCGGAAGCACCAAGCCAGGCAGCAGGCAAGTAACCTGCAGAAGACCATTTAAAGCCATAGACTTTAACCCCGCATACAGCTAATAAATCGGCTGACATATGTGGTAGCACAGTTCTTGGATTTCCATCTTCGGACGTGACAGAGGTAGTGGTGAGAAGCTTATCCACAGACTACCTCAATCTTTTGAACAAAGTTCGCGATATTAAAATGTCAGTTTGCAATAACTGGCTAACACAAGTTTTACCCGAAGCGGATATTGGGTTGGACGGCTACTCCACTTTCCCAGCTGACTCGAAACGCTGGGGGGCAGGTGGGGTTGCTTTTTACAATTACATACGGCCCTGCCGAAGCCGATTATCCTGCACGCTTTCGTGATGCAAGTTGGGTCAATTTCTGGCTGCTTGGGAATGGAGCGTGTGTTACAAATATCTGCTTTTTCGAGCCTGAGTGATTCGTGTAAGTTCACGGAAAAGGACCAAGAAATATGATTTCCTCTATCACGGTGCTTTTAGAGATATAATGACGCGCCTATTCAGCAGAGCTCAACAGATTCTTCTGTGCAGATACCGTAGGAGCTATAGAATAAGGCTGTTCAGTAACCAGCCTGAGGATAAATCAGAATTAACTTCGCCACAATATCGTCAGTAGGAAACAGTAATCGATGGTGAGTAACCAACAAACAATATCCTACCGAAATCCTTAAAAATTAGAGAAATATTCCTTTAAAACAAGAGAGTTTAGGTGACTCGGATCAGTAGGAATAATTATAAGAATTAGCTATTGCATATTTTGGAGAAATTGAGAACATTTTTATAAACCGTCTTCCATAGCGTGTTCTGCATTTGCTTCCAGTCCACCGAAACATAAACACTTCTCGCAAGCCCTTGAACAGGTTGCTTCTAGCTAGCACATCACAAATCTCTTGCTGGAAGGTGCCCAACACTCATTGCCTCCCGAAAGGATTCCCAGCACATCGGTCTATAGCATATTTTGCATTTGCGTTGGCCAAAGTCGTCGAACAGAGGGCTTAGACCTAAAATGTCGCCGCAGCTACCAAATACCGCGTAGCTCAGCTGTCACTCCCGCTGGATTTGGTCATCACCAACGAAAGACACTTCGTCGCACAGGTGCCGACGGCACACCGTTACATATTGACAGCTGTGTGCTAAGCTTTGGTTTCATCTACTGCTGGGCCAGAAATCCAAACGTCAAACGTTTGAGATGTGCCATGCAGTCCATTTAGGAGAGCACATCTTTTTTCTCATTTTAAACTGGGACCAGCCTCACAAGAAGAACTATCGAGGAACATTGTTTAAAACGTTCATGAGACTGATGCTGTGTTTATCCAAAAAAGAGCGCACAGTCGGGTGAATAAAATCCAGGAAGAATGTCCACTTATTTTTCCAACTGATCACAACGGGTAGCAGAAGACGGGCTGGCCTTTCGTATAACGCGGAAGCGCTGTAAGTCAGAAAAATTCCAAAGGAATATCCTAAAACAAGCCATGAAACTGGACCTCCGCCGGAAAAAGTGCGCCAATGAAGCTACTGACACCACCAGAGAAATAGGCAAACCGCCTTCTCCATGAGGGACAGGAACGAAGAATCAACGAGCGGAACGATAGGGGTATCTGAGGTCGACGGACCACGCTATGCCGGTATGTGTTCTTCCCCAGCGATCTCGTCACTCCCATGGTTGTCAGGACGTATCTACGTAACCATCGTGATCTTCACTGACGAGGACATCCGCCAACTCCAGCAGAAACAAACCTGTCCTGCGCGTTGGGACCGGATGAGGTCCATCCAAGGATCCTGAACGGAGCGTCGTTCGCACTGGTAAGCATTTCTATCTGATGTTTTGTCAGTCGCTCGTTGCGGGTAAGCTTTCCTCTGCTTGTAAGTAGGCGACGATCACGCCAGCATACAAAACTGGTGGCCGACCATCGTCCAACAGATACAGGCCTATTAGCACCATCAGCGTACAACGCAAAGCGATGGAATGAATTCCGAAGCAGACCATCTTAAATCACCCCACCAAACAACAACTTGATATCCAGAGTGCAGCAGAGGACAGCTCTGCCAGAGCTAAGGACGTAGGGCTCATAACATGTCATCTCTTTCGACTTCTCGAAAGTATTCGATTGAGTCCCACACGTCCAGTTGCTCCATAAACCCAAGCCTGAAGGGATGCAAGGGGAAATTTGACGCTGGATTAAAGTGATTTTTCAGACAGGATGTTCTGAGAGGATGTAGCCTCGACGTACAATTTTTCAGCGCCTATCTCAATTAGAATTTCTCAGGGATCTGTTTTGGGACCACTGCTGTTTCTGATATACTTCGGTGACCTTCCATGACCTTCGATGACCTTGCGAGTTCATGTCCACCTTTTTGCGGACGACGAAAATTCTGGAGTTCTAGTGCCGGTGCCCTCCACGTGGATGTAGACGCTACTGGATAGTGGTTGCTGGACTGGTGCTTCCCTCTGAATGACGAAAAATATGTACATATCTCATTAGGAGGAGATTCAGCAGATGCATTTGTCGCGTATAATAAGAATGGACAGGAAAACATCACGAGGATGGATACCAAAATGATTAATTCTTGTTGTCTTCAAATACGTCCTTCTCACTGCACCATGTGAAGTCATCTCAAAGGTCTTTAGCCGTTCAGCGGGTGACTCGGCTCACCTTGTCATATACCGTGCCCTGTGGTACGTGTAGTTATTCGGTGGCCATGCATGATGTGAATTACCTCCAAAGTGGTTTCCTATCACTTGGCTTGGCGCCTGAAACGCACCAGCCAATCAAAACACAGGAAATCTCTCAACCCAAGCCCGGCCTTGCGCGCGTTGGGGCGAGGGCCGTAGGTGGATGCTCTTGCCGGCCTTGTGATGGGCAATATCGTCCATAGTGTATTCGTTGAAGGCTGCATTCATCAGTAATATCCAAATTCTCAGGTTATCTGTAATAATCTAGGTGCTTTGGTCGGCGTTATCAGCAATGGAAGCAATCGATTGAAGTATGTCCACTGTCGTCATTCTTATCTGTTTAGTTTGATGGTCTTGATTTCAGGGTGGGCTTTCTGGCTTCATAATTTTATGCTTCCTTTTAGCGGAGAACAGCATTATCATCCCCAAGGTGAGTTACATCGCACCTGATTTAATATCTTTGTTGCAGAGGAGCCGCCAGACACAACCGAATCGCTGAATACATAGCCTGGGTAAGTCTTGTTTTTCATCCTGATGTTACGCGAATAACTGGTACTGAAACGGTAATTAGTTCGGCATATCAAAAGGCCTCCGGTTATCCCGCAGATTCGCACCATATCCAGTGCACGGTTGGATTTCACATACAAATGTATGCATCTAGACGACTACTACTACAGTGTCGACTACTTCGGGTTAGTAATCCAACCCGTCCTGCGTCTTGGAGAATCCAATTCATTCTCGGCGATATCTCTGGTTGTTTCCGTCGTTGCTAGTACGCTCGTGAATGTCCCTCTGTGCCTGAAACCATGGTTCCAGTGAAAATCGTTTGCCGATGTATGCGCTTAGAATTAGATTGGAGAACCTAGACTTACATCAAAACGGAAGACCATTTGATCGATAATAGTCCTAGACCTTCCTGAGCGAATACGGTGGCTAGAATGAGAGCTCACACAGGTAGGTTAATACCTGTCCTTTTAATACCTGCCTTTTCTGTTGACTTAGTGGCCGAAGTAACTAAAACTCGCCTAGGACAAACCTACAAATATTCAGCACATAATACATTAAGGAAACGTATGTGCTTAAGTACATTTTCCTCAACCGGTTGGGTTAATCTCAGCAGAAAGCTTTTGGGCGAACAGTCAGAGAGAAAAAACCGATAATTGGACCATCGTAGGGCGTAACCGAATTTCTTAACCCACATAAATTGGGCATTGACGAAGTTCAATTTCACTGAAAAATGAGGACAAGGGAGCCTTTAAGGTAGTACGATGAAGTGGAAACGGCTGCGCCTTGACGAAACCGCCAATTTTGGGTACGGAATTGCGACATGGAGAACGTGCAGTGTGGAACTATCCACTGCCATGGTTGCTTTTATTGGTCACCACGTCACTTGATCCTACACACAAGTAGTCCATAGACTTGGTAGAGGATGCTCGGTCATCCTGAATGCTTCTAAGAGATACGCTCAGTAGTTAATGCGCGAACCGGAAGGTCCGTGGTTCTAACCCATTCTCGGCATCTCGATTACATGGTCATCCTGGCTGCAATTCACCCCTCGCGCAACTTCGACTGAATCGTCATCGACAACATGACGTCGGTGTTCAAAACCGATGCTCCACTGCCGACTTCGACTGAATGACAGCCAGCCGCCAAAAGGATGTTTCGGTTGAACGGTAGTAATTATTATTTCAGCCAACAAATGGGCAGCCGAGTGTTTGTCAGGCGATGGACAGTCTTCGGTATCAATATCCGGAACTGTTTAGTCCTCATTTAGGGAACATGTTTACCATGGTTTTCCCTCCTGGTGGAAAGAGAAACCACTGGGACACCACACACGGAATTCTCACTCTGGTCCTAAGTTCCGAATAAGGGTTTTCAGAATTTCCATTTGGGGCTATCACTTTCCTACTTCACCTGAGCTGTGGTGACCTAATTTGACTGAAAGAAACTCATCAAGAATTTCAGTCTTGCATTTTTTACACCGACATGACAACAGCCTTCCCTCCCATCCGTCCATGGAGTAAACAGAGTCTGGTTACTTATTTGTAGACACGAAAAAGATGCCTTCCCCTGAGGAAACCGTAGTGAGGACCAATTTTTTGAAGATTTGTTTTGTTGCTTGTCTCCGCCCGAGAATAAATCAAAACAAGCAACAAATAGTTGACTCGAATTACCCTTCTCCATTCACCCGGTCATATTAGTGGATTAGGCTATTCGGAATAGGTCGGCTTCACTTACAGGACGACAAATTTTCCCATTTGGTGAATCTTCTTAGAGCTTGGATTAATGAAATAGGTAGTTCTAACGGCCCACATAACGTAGTTTAACCACTGTGTGTCAACCACGGAAGTCCGAGAGCATTCTAATACCTGGAGAACTGACCTCGGAAAATGGAAATTCCATCCCATCGTCAAAAAATCAACGTAGGACACCGGGTTGCGACCAGAGTTGCACTACGCCCTTAGTGAAGAGGTGCTACGAGCTCTCGTTCGTCTTCTACGGAACAAGTCGCTGTACTTTTGAACCTCCAACCTAAAGGACCAGAAAACTGCGTTTGTCAGAACTCTAACCATTGGCGAAACTAGTGTGAGAGATTGCAAGTGTCGTGCGGACACCCTTCGCCATTGTAACTCAATGGGTCTTGGAGGTACACGGACCGTACCACGGTAAGGTCTAGTGTCCTGGAGCCGGAACTTCTGTTTGCGGTACAACGAAGTCAACCTCATCCAAACACTGGATCTCTAATATGACCATATTTTCAGTGGAATTTCGGTAACAGATTCCCCTGGAGGTAACCACAACCCCACCCGACGCATCATCCGATGCTAGGTGAGACTGAGTGTCCATGCAGATCGAGAAGCTTAGTTTACCCGAAAGGCCAGGCAAGTGGAAGATGCAAAAAATACTTGAAACGTACGCAAACTGTTCCACGTGATTCGTTCGACTGGTCCTCAGAAGCCTCTTGTCAGCGAAATTATCAAGCTGCCAACCGATGTCAGTGGCGTTCTCGTTGTCAGTTTCTGTCCAGATTGCCTGAGTGAATGTCTGGAGGTGTAGGCACCTCGGAATGATTGTGTTAAGCTAGCACTAAGTCCCTCCCCCACCCACCTTTATTCTTTTCTTCACAATAAGACTTTCAAATAAGTCATGGTTGTACGGCAGTGAAGCATCGGTGTTGAACACTGATGTCATGCTGTCAATGATGATGATGACGAACATGGAACCGCCCTCAGCCTCAGAAGTGTCCGCGTGTGTATCTCTACACAAACGTCGTGCTCCCCGTCTTGACGGCCTCCCATTTGTTCTGTTGAAGAATGGTGGCGAATTCCTCAGGTAATCTCTGTGTAGCCTATTTGTGTCTATCTGGGAGGCAGGGAGCGCGAACTTACTGAACGGAAGGTCCATGGTTCGAGCGTGACCTCTGCCTTTTTACTTCGCCTGTCTAGGCCTGGGCACCCTGGTAGTATCCCAGCCTCATGCTTCTTTCGGGTGGTATGGCAGCTCGGAAAGGATGTTACATCTGGCAGATTATTGTTATGTCTATCTGAGAGAGAGACCATTCCAGATAACTGGGATGAATCGATATTAGTGCCGATTTTCGTAAAGGGTACTCGCAGTCACCGGGAGTAACTTCTTGAGTGTCAGTTTGACTACCATTGTAACAAGACTTCTGGCCTCACTGATTCTTCGTCGTCTTAAGGCGGCATGTGAATCCTTGACTCGCGAGCATCAAGTGGGATTTCGACCGGGTAGAGGCTGCGTTGACGACGTTTTCACAATCCGTCTGGTGTTAGAGCAAAGCCATTTGCACAGACGAGCCACAATCTTGGTATTCATTGACTTCAAGGGAGCATTTACTTCTGTCACTCGGCCAGTGCTGTTAACAATGCTTGCTCAACCGTGTATGCTCCAGAAGTCTGTGAACATAGTCCGGTCCCTATATTCACTACTTCTGGGCGTGCGAGAGTCTGGGGAGCTCCAAAAGCTTCCTTACAAAAAGTGCTGTTCAATTTCCTCACTGATGAAATAGTGAAGCGAACGCTCGAGGGTCTTCAAAACCCCGGTGTTCAAATTGTTGTTGGTGAGAGCCTTGTCGATCTAGGGTACACAGATGACATCGCTCTCTTCTTTAAAGACCACGATGAAGCACAAACTCTGTTAAATAAGCTGACCACCAACAATCACCTTTTGGCGTGTGCATTTCATCTCCAAAGCGTAAAGTAACGCTTCAGAACGTGCAGCCTCTGAACATACCCTTAATTCAAGGAGAATCATTGAAGAATGTGGTGAATTTTGCATACTTTGGTAGTTGTAGTAGCTCTGACAAGAGTGTCTGATGAAGTCAGTTCAAGAATATCAAAGACTCGAATTGCGTATGCTGATCTTCGTCACTTGTAGCATCAAAAACATATCACTGGGTCTGAAGGCCACAGTAAGAGCTGTATTGTTTTATGGTTGTGAGACGTGCCTTCTGTGGACAGTTGGTGCAAGCAGTCTTCCGGTTTTTTAACCAACGATGCCTCAGAAGCTTTGCTGGTTTTAGATGTCGTCAACAGATTAGTAACGAGGTGATTATAAAACGGGTATTTGGTTGTGCTGCAGGTACTTCAATCGGGGAGAACATCCAGCACCATCGACTGTGATGGCTCGGTCATGTGCTGCGCATGCCGAAACACCGTCTACCGAGACGAATGTTGTTCTCCGTGCCTCCTTCAAAGTGGCGTTTAGGTCGTCCTTTCAGAATAGGAAGACTTTACCTCATATTTGATCCATATCTCATACTATTTTTGTCGAACGGCAGTATCAACACTGATGTTGATGTCTTTGATGATGATTTTGTCGGTCGTAAGTATGAAAAAAATCGTTCAGCTGTTACACCATTTCACAGTTTATTTACCCTGCCACTGGAAGTAAGCACCAGGGTCACGAGACTGCCAGGTTGCCTAAACATAGACAGGAACAGTTGAGGTGACGAGATTATGTTTGGACCTCGGACCTTCTGGTGGGTGAATTTGTGTCTTAGGCAGTGGGCTGTCTCGAGCTCAAAAGAGAGCTGGTCCCAATTTGATATACTGATGCACTGAATGAACTCTAAAAATCACAATACCGCCTGTCTCAGTGCCACTGATATGCACATACATACTACTAACATCTTCATGTTCGTTCAGTGCCAGCACAGTACCTCATTCTAGAGAGAGGGCAAAAGTCTATGTGGTACCCAGAGATAAGGCGCCGTTTAACTGTAATTGGCTCTCTAACGTCCGTTTTACAGGCACTCAATCGAAGTCGTTCGCCCTTGCTCTTGGACGATGCGCTTTCCAGTACACCTGTGGAGGTAAATTCAAGCGATTTTGGTGGGGTAAACGCCGTCAGTTGGATCAGTGATGCTGCTGCCAGTGATGGTTCCCATGTTATGTATCGCGAAATGGACCCCTACAATTACGCTTCCGTGGCTAACAGCCTTATCCCATCGCCAACTCTTTCTTCGGCTGATTCTGGTGAGCCCACTCGGGAAGGTTCGTGGGTTGCTGTAACAAGATTGGCGAATTCGAAGAATCACACAGTTGTGAGTAAAGTTTTCTGTCCGTTTGACACGGTTGCCCGCACGAAACGCCTTAGTACCGCTTATTTTGTGATCTTTCTCAGTCGTTTGAAATCCAGTTTTAAATCTGCTCAGGTGTAGAACTTCGGTTACCTTACGTATCTTACCTTTCATTTTCAGTTATTACTACTTTTCAGGCTGAGTGGTGAGTCCATGCTTCCGAAAATTGGTTGTTTTACTTCAGTATCATCTACCTAGCCAGGTACTAAGTTTTTAAGCGTGACTCTTACTGAATGTACAGGATTGATTAGATTCTCCACAGAGATAGAATAGTTTATCGTTAAGGTAGAATGGAACGGAAACCATTATTGGCAATGATCTCTGTTACTCCACAACCGCATGGATGACTTCACTTTTACCCCCCTGCTAGACCAACCAGCATTCACTTGTGAGGAACGAGGACTACTCTCGATTTTTGGCGCATTTGGGACGAAGGACTTTTTGAGCTTATGTATCTATAATCCGAAGGCAGTGATGGAGCCTGTCCACTAAGCAGAGCATTCGAATTCGTCCCATTAATGGGTACTGTTGTTCAGAACATTCCAGCTAGTACGTCAGCTAGTTGCATTTCTCTCTACTAAGCTTTGTGGTTTTAGTCTTTGTTGCCTCTGGTGAGGATAATACCACCACAGTAATGTATGAACTAGTACCATTCAAGCAACTTCTACTGAAGAGGTGAGACTCCAAGCTATGTCATTAATTGTGGACCTGCTGCCCATGTCTACAAGACATTTCCTATTGTGCATTGGTGGAATCTGTGTGCATTTCAGGTGACAAAAGATAATACCGATGTTCTTTTATTCATGTATCGGAAGTATTTGAGCAGGCATAACTTCTGTTGCGTTCCACCATATTGTTCGTTGAAAGCAGTCAGTGAACTTACCTCGTGCTGTGGAGGACAAGTGCTGCCATTTCTTTCCCGGTGTATGCCTCTAGGGCCAGAATGGAGATTTTTGTAAATCCGGAAGTTTAGATGGATTCCCTACAGGACCCAACCCAGTCCTACTGAATTATGGAATTTGAATGAACCTGAACCCGTCGAATCCGATTCCCAGCCAATTGCAGATTGAATAGGTTCCAGTCATTAGCAGGAAACCCCTCTTCAGGTTTTTTTAGATTGTTCAAGTAACCCACATTTTTATAGCGTCCAGTCTCTTCTTTCGTACGCACATCTGGCCTGTTCAGCCTGTCAAGAATAGCAATACAGTCAGCAAGACTCATGTTCTGTCACCTATCATTCAATCCAACAAAAGCTCGACGTCACCATTTGCCTCGGAAGTTGACTTGACTCTGTCTGTTAACTCATATTTTCAGCATGTCTTTTACTCAATGGCTCGCCGGTATGGCTTTGCCGGTAAAAGGTTGTCAAACCATGACGTAGGAAGCGTTAGGTGGTTGACACTGAGTCGAATGCAGTGCTGCACACAAGCCTTGGGCGCCGATGAAAACCAGAGGGAATAAGGTCTGTGGGTGAACCTGCATAGGTCTATCCCAATTCACCAACCAACTCAAACCTGATGGCATAACAATGGGCACCAATGCCACTTTCGGTTTTATCATTGAGGTGTCGGCGTCACTCGTTAACTTCCTCAAGTTTCAGCGTAATACTGCACCTCCCCCAGTGTATCGCCATTCAATTGTTACCGGGAGCTTTCCGCCAAGGTAGTACTGGATAATCTGGCCGTGTTCCCTTAATATTTTGGGCGGATAAAACAAACTCACCTGGGTTTCAAAAGGTTACGTGGCCTGGTGGCACGGTGATGACCCACAAGGCTAGTCTTTCCAAGACACATGCGTTGATATTTTGCGCGAATCTGTCTTGTCGAGGCTGCTTTAGGGAGATTCAGTCCCTTCTTAATGGCTCACTTGTTTTTGAGCATTGTAACACATGATACCTCAAAGCTTCCAACGTATGCTTAGGTAGTCGTTTTGTCGAGTGCCAGGTCTTTCCATGATTGAAAATAGAGGTTACAGTTTTTTTTGAACTGTTCCAACAGCGGACTTTCGAGCGTTCCTGTTTTCGAATCCCATTCTTCAGCTGATTGTAGACACGTTTTGGGATGAGAGTGTCGACCATTCATTTCAAGTGGCCTAACTAGCATAGCTAGTTTCCCATTAGGATGCGTTGAACTCCAACACTGTTTGCTCTTCGAAATACTTTGGTGTTCGAAATTCTCTCGTTCTATTTGATTTGAAGAGTTTCGCGCAGACGTGAAATGGGTCAAGCCCCCGAACGTGCCATTCACACAACGCCTAGGTCTTGCTACAGTTCAATAATGAAGACAGTACAGGAGCGGTATACACTACAACCTTAGTGTCCATGCGAAAGTGCTGATTGTTCGGGATACCTTTCTGGTGGTGACCAAATACTCTGTTAGCCTTTGCGATCCATCCATTTATTTCATTGTCAAGTATCAGGTCTGTTGATATTGTGCTGCTACGATGGCAGAAATCCGTGCGGCACGCTGTTTCAAGACCATTTAGTAGCCTACTCCATGTGTTTTATGTTAAATCCGTAGTGCAGACTGATAAAAGACAAAGCGCTTTAGAAATATTTATATTTAAGCCGCTGAACACAGCAATTAGCTTTTGAGTAGCATCAAGGATGGTCCTTCATGCTGTCCGATGGCCGGTCTCGTACCCAAAGGAGTAAGAGTGTCTGTTGTTGAGTTTTTTAAATTTTCCGCATAGTTCCTTTTTTGAATCGTTATTCTCCATCTTTTTTTCCATAATAAGTGAGAAGGTGCAGAGTAGGTCCTTGTTTTTCTCGCTACTCATGGTCATGCCTGGACTTATTCTCCGGTCATTTATCCTGCTAAATATACCGAGTTATTCAGTCAAGGAGGTGAAAACGTAGATGTCGGGTTGGTTTAAAATAGTTGTGGCACAAATTGGCCAGGATATGTTGACGTGCTATTGATCAGAACATTCTCGAGGTCGTTGTTGGAGCTATTATGTGGGGTATGAAATATGAACCAATAAAGGAGGGAGACCCGACGGATAGCCAGCTTGTCCAGTGAAAATAATCAGCTTTAGCATAATAATCACCTGGTTGGGCCGGGCTGAATATAAGTGCAGGACTATGCTAGGGTCGGAAAGCAGCAGTGGGGGTTCTTTTTTGCCCACATACGACGGATATGGTCAGGAATTAGTGAGCGTGAGCATCACATGCTTCAGCCAATGAGGTAAAACGTACTCACAACTAGTACCACGGAAGCCCCAGTCTGCGAATCGCCATGCCTGAATCACTGACTATCATGATTTGTTCGGAAATAAAGCCAAAATGTAGCAGTAGATTTTAATCTTTTAGTCGAGTGAAGGAATAGAGCTTATAGTTTATTGGGGAACAGTGCAACTTACGAATACAACCTTACGTGTGGAAAAACATACAGACCGCCGATAGCTCCGCTTGCGATTTATCAGGTGGTTGCTATGTAATAATATGCTACTTCGAATGTGAATTTCAATGGGCTTTTGCAATGTCACAACATGCTTATTTGAGCCCCTCTAACTCAACATATAGATATTCCCATCACTTTTTCAGTGAGATTCACTATCTGAAACCACAGTGCGTCCCTCAGTGCTGTTTCGCAACCTCCAACAGCTGCTTTTGAACGTTTCCTCTGATTGGGCTCTTTGGATGGCAATACCCCGTTAGTTGGACGATGTTGCTCCCGTCGGTTGCGACTCCTGAAAAATGCTGCACATTTTAAATAACCTAAATAGTCCTGCCGCTTGGTTCGGTAGTGCTTTACACCAACAGACTGTAAAGTGCTATTACAAGACTGGGTGAGACCAAACTCAAACATAATTCTTGCAGACGAGCCCATCGGCGTGTTCACCTGGGCAGTTGTATAAATTTCGGTGGACTGGCTGGTGATGAGATTACTTCCAGGATCGGGAAAGCTGGGGCAGCTTTTGCCAAACTCCGAAAACTATGGTGCCGAAGTGATGTGAGTTTGTCTGTCAAGGGCAGAGTTTACACTGCGGCGTTGTGACTCATGCCGCTTTATGGATCACAGACATGGCCCCTACGTGCAGAGGGCATACAAAAGATGCCAGTGTTTGACCATTGGTGTGTCCGGTCTGGCCTTGGGAGAACATCGAACTTTTTTAATATCCATGTGGTTGGTTCATCATTGTCAGCTGTAATAACCGCGTACTCGGTTGTAGCTGCCGCAGTTTCGTTCACTGATGATTTGGGGGGATAGGTAGCTGCGCAAAAGCTGCTCTGGCCTTCCCAATCCGGATGGAAATATCATCTTTCACCAGACCACCGGGACTGATACAGCTGCCCAGGTAAACAATTTTGTCTACTACCTCAATCGGTTCATCCCCAAGCCCAATAGTTTTGGGAAAAAAGGTACTACCTCACGGTGGATGACCTACTCATGCTTCATAGGTTACCCTCTATATGTTCTTTGAACGTCTTTTCGCGCAGCATCACGTCAAGTTGAAGTGACCGAGAGGTGGGCAGTCCGTGATTTGGCAACGAAGTGTGAAAACTAATCAGTAAAATCAATCCACTTGACACCTGCCGTTCGCTTGGTGTAGACCCCTTGACTCAATTTGTCATTGGTTTCCGGTCTCGGTAGATATGGTTGAATCACGCAGTCAGTGGTGCTGCTAGACCAAAGCTATCGCTTCCAATGCGTAGCTCTCCAGTTCCCGAACTAACTGTACAAGCCATCGCCTCCAGTTCTTGTCTATGTCTCACGCTTCCATTTTCCTGCGATCGAAACTGTACCAGCTGGATCCAACATACCCTTGGTTTATGGCTTTTACACTAAACTGAGCTGAACCGGGTGTTTCGTTTTATGTCGTCGTTATTGACCACCACATCACTGACCTGGTGATTTTACTCGAGTGGCTGCCTCCGCAGAAGCATGTATAGATTGACCAGTTGTTCGCATTAGCTCTGTTACCATGATTACCCGCTTTGTTCCGGGTGCACACATCACGTG